TGAGTGAATAATCTTTAGTACTTACTAAAATATTGCAGTTTTCGTATTTCTGAAAATTACCGTTATATAGGAGGTGGGCGTGGTTATTGTCCGCTTTTTTCCCATTTTCAATACCATCCGCCCTACGCCCCAGAAAAGTGTACGTTCCAAGTTTCGTTAAGGTCTCTCAATTTTTAATCGAATTATCGTGTGCACAGACGGACGGATGGGTGCTGTTTTGGACTCGGCCAAAATCAAATTGGCGGTCACAGCGCCAGAAGATGAAGTTTTATGTAGTATTATACAAGTTTGAGGTGCAAATTTCAAGTCGTTAAAATTGCTGTTTATTTGTGAGATTTTTTTTTGCACAATCTTTTTTTTTATAAAAGAAGGTACGCAACACCCTCAGGAGGAAAAATTCTCAAAAATCAACAAAACTGCATACTCGAAATTTTTCTAAGAAATCGAATTGAAATGTTAAAAACTTCTTGCATTTTCCCAAATTCTGTATGCAATTAAAAAAATTTATTTTTGTGGTTTTTGTTGTTGAATGCACTATATTTTTGTAAATAAGTAAGAAAAATTTATATATACTTATACTTATTTTTGATTATCACTGTATGTACATGTTGGACTTCACACCAAGGCTTGACCTTTAAATAGGTACATAAGGACTAGCTTGGTTTACCAGATTTTAAAAATGTACCAAATCTAAAAGTTTACCAAAAATGGTGCATTGTAACCAAAATGGCAATACGCAATGTATTTAGTAAGTTTGTTTGAAAAGAAGTAAGCAACTAAAAGTTAAAACAAAATACAAAACATCTGGTAAAAATAATTTTTGAAAAATTTGCTACCGTCCTGCCGGTCACAGTGTATTCGACACTTTATATGCAAGTAAATTGTTTGCGTTTCTGCACACGTATCTACATAAGTATATGCTTTTGATGTTTTTGATGAAACATTCAAGCCAATAGCATTAATAAAGCCACCGCAAAATCAATATCCACTATTTAAAGAGTACCGAGCACACTATGATGCGTCTACGAAAAACTAATTAATAATTTCCGAATGAGCTATTAATTAAGCCTAATTACAATGCATAACGGCGATAGCTTTGTAAAATCACAATAAGCGTTCAAAAGCACGCACATTTAGCACAACGAAAATCAGTTAATTTAGTTAGGCGCCCGCATAAATGCATACTTCCCCTGTATGTAGTTTTTGTTTTACAACCATACGCCATACGTGTTATAGTAGAGCAACAAATTTTTGAAACCATTTTTAACCTCCAATAATATTTAAAACAAGGCCTATCACAGTGGTTAGTGGGTGTGTGAAAACATTTATGTATGTATGTACATATGTGCATGTGTATAGCCATTCGTGGAGCCAACGCCAGCTGACTAGTTGGCAATATGTACGAGTACCAATAACCAAAGCAACAAAATATAGGTTCGTGTGAGTGTCACTCTTGCTGAAAAAACTTACACTGACCATCAGTACTTTTTATACCCGAGCGCACTTGTGCACAAGGGTATATTAATTTTGTTCACATAACGGTTGTTTGTAACAGCCAAAACGAATCGAGATAGATATAGACAAATGTATACATAAATGATCAGNATAAATGCATACTTCCCCTGTATGTAGTTTTTGTTTTACAACCATACGCCATACGTGTTATGGTAGAGCAACAAATTTTTGAAACCATTTTTAACCTCCAATAATAAAACAAGGCCTATCACAGTGGTTAGTGGGTGTGTGAAAACATTTATGTATGTATGTACATATGTATAGCCATTCGTGGAGCCAACGCCAGCTGACTAGTTGGCAATATGTACCAATAACCAAAGCAACTAAATATAGGTTCGTGTGAGTGTCACTCTTGCTGAAAAAACTTACACTGACCATCAGTACTTTTTTTTCATAAATTGTTAACTACTGATGTTATCGATGCTGTTTTTGTTACTGCTTTTGAAGCTAGGCTAGATACGAGTAAATACAAACGATGTATAATATGTACTTCTGTATGTACATTAGGGTGGGACACAAGAAGTAAAGTCGGAAATTTAATGCTCTCACCCCCTTAAACCGAAGTCTGAGATAGGGCGTTTTTCAATCGAATTCTGAAATAGGCGTTGTTGAAAATTTTTTTTAGATAGGGCGTTTTCGAACTGGCTGCCGAGATAGGTCGATCTTCCACTCAGCCATTGATTTGGGAAAAAACAAGTTTTCGTAGAAATCGTATGGAATTGTTGAAAATCAATATTTTTCGATCATAAAACTTCGTTTCTTCTCTGGAGGCTATCAATAACAATTGTTTATTTAACCATTTTCTATTTTTAATAGGGCTGTGCGATTAACTGATTACTAAAAATTTTAATTAATCATAAAGTAAATAACTCAATTATTCGATGAATTGGAAATTATGATTACTCAAAAGTTCAGTTACTCGAGTAATCAAGATTTTTAATTAACCAAAAACAAAAATATTTGAGTAATTTGCTTTATGATTAATCAACATTTCGAGTAAAATGAGTAATCAACATTTCAACTCTTTACATATGTATAAAGTAGTTAAAGTTCCTTGATACTTTGAAAACAATGTTTCTGTTTTCAAAAATTGAAACGAAAAATTATTTTCATATACAAAATGTAAAAAAGAATATAAGCATTTTCCAAAGCAGACTCTTTTAACGAGCAAAATTATTTTTTTTTTGAGTAATCATATTTCAAGTAACTCTATTAACTATAGTTTTGAGTAATCAAAATCTTGATTACTTGAGTAATTGATTAACCGAATAGTTGATTAACCAACTTGCTCGAGTAATCGAATAATCGCACAGCCCTAATTTTTAACTATTTATATAGTATGTACTCCTAAAAGTCAAGTGGGTCCCCTATTTTTTGAGGTTTTTAGGGGTCTTATAAAAAAAATTAAAGACTCGAAAATGGTTAAATAAACAATTGGGTATTGTTACTGGAAGTCTTCTGAAGAGAAAGGAAGTTTTCCGATCGAAAAATATTGATTTACAACTTTTTTTTCCCCAAGAGGTAAATTTTTTTCGATATAAAACAATCCTTGGGGGTGAGCTAATTAAATTTCCGACTTTACTGTTTCTCATCCATTTTTGGAAGACCCTAACGTATGTACGTATTGGTATTGTTTCCATGGACGTCGGCGCCTACTCATTACCCACACATTGCCAATAGCCAACAGTAGTCCAAACCAATCCAATCCAATCAACAGCCAACCCGCATAATGGCCTCATTCATTTACACGCACTCCGCCATGTTGACGTAATTAGCAGGCCGTTGCCTCGTTTATTTCACATATACATATATGTGATGTACCAAGAACGATATCCATATGGATATACCAGGGATGTTGCGAATATTTGCAATCGCATTCGTTATGCGAATGATTGGCATCATTTTACATGCGCGATGCGAATGCGAATGTATACATGGGCAGAGAGTCCACTCTAATATTTTTGAAATGGCTCTAAGTCTGTTTAACCAGGGTGCAGACAATAACCGGCTTTTAGCTTCAGGCGCTAAACGGTCAAGTAGTATATCAAGCAACATTGATGGGCCTTCAACGAGTACTGTTAAAAGTTTTATAAGCAACCTAGAAATAATTTTAGAATCCTCCAGCGAAAGCGAAGGCTCGGATGTAGAATCTGGAGATATTTAAAAATGTGGAAGTAAAGCTCATTGGAAGGTCTATCTTAAAGAGAAACGAGCTCGTCTCGGTGAAAATCCTCTCGTTTGATGGAAAACTAAACTATACTATGACAAATTGACAGATCTGGCCCGCAAAAATTTGAGCGCTCCCCCCGCCAGCGTTCCAAGTGAGCAATTGTTCAGGGCAGCCGGCCTTATATGCGAGCCTGAAAGAAATCGCCTCATGGGAGAAAAGGCGGCAAAATTACTTTTTTTGAAATATGCCCCTTATGAACTTTGACTACTAGATTAAAACACTGTATAGGTTAAGCACACGTTCAATGTTTTAATAATTTACAAGTAATATTTAAGCAAAAAAAAACCGGCTTCAATTCTCATATAAAAATTTAAGACTGTCGTGAATTTCTCCATAATCCAATGATCGAATTTAAACCAAATTAGTATGGGACCACCTGTGAGGTACTTTCCTTAAAAAAAAAAGAATTATTGAAATCGGTTAACGTGGTCCAAAGTTATGCGGTAATATACATAAAAAAAAAAAAATAATTATATATTCCGACGAATTGATAACCTTCTCCTTTTTGTGAAGTCAGTTAACAAAATTTTTAAATAATAAAAACGATGACTTAAGTTGATTATAGCTTTTTTAATGGTATGCCTAACATACGCATTCACACATTCGCAATCCGCAAATTCGCATTCGCGTTAGCGAACATCCAAAATATGACATTCGAAACATCCCTAGAATATACATATAAAGCATATATACATATTTACAAATATAATTGCAAAATGTATAGGCTGAAGCGGCGAGTGAGTAATTTTGTTTTGCAGCGGTTGTATGTGGTAGTAGTTACATATGTACATATCGCATACCGTTTTCAAAAGAAGCACAGCTCAAAATTTGGCATTTTTGAAACTATGCGATAAAAATGTACACAGAGCTTTTATTTGTCTTTCAGTAAAAGCTGGAGCAAATTTTTGTCATAATTTGTTAAAAAACCTAAGGTAAAGTCTCCCTTGCCCATATGATTGTCAAACCCATGGAAGAATTGTCTAAGTACTGGAGGAAATTGCTAGAATTTCTCTATCTAACTATTCAAAAGTGGATTTGTCAATAGCTTCATGAATGTGAAAATTTATTCCACATTAACCAGCAGAAATTAATGGCATTTAATGTACGTATCAAAGAGAAGTCAGTGTCGGGAAATGCTTTGCGATATTATAAAAAATCTTATATTTGTACTAAATACTATTAAAGACCCATGAAGAAAGTCCTATAAACTTAGCTATATATAGTTAATCTTGTATGACCTCATCCAACTTTTCAGGTGCTGGTAATACACACTGGGGTTACGGCTCAGCATCTGCATACTCACCATATTTGGCTGGTAGTGGTCTTTCCTCCTGCACAACTCCATCATCGGCTCAATTTAATAATCCAGCACTTGGCTTTACCTGCTCCTCCAACGATCAGTCAAACAATCAGGACTTTACTGGCGGCACAAATCGCGATTGTGTACCAAGTAAGTAGTTCCAAAATGCGAAAGACTACTCCATTAAAAAATATACATTTTGATTTCATCTTATAACGAATTTTGGATGCTCTGCACTGAGAATGAAAGCAAGAAGCAAATAACGAATCATTTTTACCTTACCTCTTTTTTATTCTTTTTTCACTTTTAGTGCTACCCGACTCTACGGCCACCGATTTGGATCAGCATTTGAGTAACCTGGTCGGCTCTACCACCGGACAAATGACACATCACAGCCTGCTGGGCTCGAGCGGTCAATCGGCAATTTCCTCCACCGTCAATGGCGTCGGCGTCGGTTCGAATTCGATTTTGGTGCCACGCTATCATCATAGCAATACCAACAACGATTACAATGTACACTCCAGCCAAAATGGGCCACGAAGTTTGAGCGATTCCTCGCAAGCCGAATCGCCGGTACAGGAAGATCTGCTCACTACGAATACACCAAATTTAGGAGGTGGTGGCGGAGCAGGCGCTGGCGGTGGCGGCGCTGGTGCCAATGGCTCAAACAACGGCAGCGCTAATGGCAGCAACGGTGCCGGCGGTGGCAGCGGATCTAACTCTTCAGCGGCAAACAATTCGCTTGTCGGCGCCAACCAAAACTTTCCCGGGCTGGTAAATCAGACACAGAACCCCGCCGTCTATAGTGGTGGTAGCAGCGCCGGCGTTGGTGTCGGCGTAGGCGTGGGCGGAGGAGGTGCAGGCGCAACCGGTGCTGGCTGTAATGGTTCACTCTATCCCGTCCTGCCGGCAAGTCTACTCTACTCTCAACTCTACACTGCGGCCAATCAGACACATGGCTTTCACTCGCACGCACTAACACCCACACACGCCTCGCCCAACTCGTCGGTACACGGCGCCGAACTGCAAAGCGTTATGGATCATATCAACAATGTGGGCGTGGGAGTGGGTGTGGGCGTACGTCAGCAGCACAACATTATGGCCGGTGGTGGTGTAACGCATCCGGGTGATCTGACGTTGATCGGCAATTGTGGTGCGTCGGTGCGAAATATCGAGGATGGCAGCAATACGCAACGACAGGTCGCCGCATTGGCTGCACATCGCGGACACCACACACCCACCGATAATGGGGGCAGCGTGTGGCGGCCATATTGAGGTCAGGTGCTCTGGTGCGGCTCGGCAGTCCTTTAGTGTTACGAGAACCTGGAGAGCGAGCGTGAGAGCGCCGGCACCAGTGAACCGACAAAATATTGGTATGGTTGAGGGAAGCTGCGCCTTTGGCATGGTGGTGTGTATGTGTGCGCGAGCGAGAGGTGAGTGGATGCGGCGGAGATATGCATGAGTGTGTGTTCTGGGATTATAGTGCAATAATAAAACGAAGGGGGCGCGGGAGGGGTGTAGTTCGCAGGCGGTGGATTCAATGCAACGTACTGTATATATTTCTGTAAATAATTAAGTAGTAGAATAATGGAAAATTTTAAATGTGAAATTGTAAACATTTTAATGCTTAGTAAACTAGTCCAATTTGTTTATCAAAAAATGTTATGAGCAAAAACTTATATTAAAGATGATATTCAAATATTAAGTTGTAACTAAAGTTTACTATCAGTAACCTATACATGTAAGTCTCTAAGAGTCCTTAGCAAATTAATAAATACAAACTTTTTATTTAAACTTTGCAAACAAAAAAAAAAATACGCGTAAATAATTAAAACTCAAAAATCGTGAAAAGATTTATTCTGTAGTAGCTAAGCATGAAAAAGTGTTATATATTATGTGGAAAGAAAAATAAATATACGAGTACTTAAGTAATAAATATTCTTAAGGATTAGCTATATACATATATGTACTTAACAACATCTGTATGTTTGTATGCATGTAAATGTTATGTGTCACCCAAAGCAGAGCATAAATAAGTTCCTAGACCAACGATTTGCAAATTTTCAAGTGATTTTCAATATTTTTTTTTGTTTTTAATTTTTTGGTGCCAAAAACTAAAAAAAAAAAATAAGACATACCAAAAAGTAAATATACTCACGAAGCTTTCGGCGAAATATAGTGAAACTGCGCTTTTAGTTTTTAACCGACGCCACAAAAAGAAGATTATCAATTCGTCGGAATATTTTTATTTTTTTTATGTATGTTACCGCATAACTTTTGATAAGAGATACAAAAGAGCTCCAAAACAAGCCGAGATTCTCATGGAGAGTCTTCTGCAGCAAAGTTCGGCCACGGAGTTCAGCAGGATTAGGAAAGTACTCTCCGCGGAACCGCAGACAGCCCGGGTTCTCTGTAGAAATCCAATGGCACGAGGACGGAAACGGAAGAAGAAAACCTGGATCTGCTGATGGACTCACACTTTCCTTCTGCCACCACTGATCAATCTGAGGCTCTACAAATTTATATAAAGGCTCTACACAATGCAGGGAAGGTGAACATAAAACCCCTTTTACAGGATAAGATATCCTGGGCTATTGAAACTTTCAAGCCATACAAGACCCCACGAACAGACCCCAGGAAAAACAATGACGCGGCTTATAGGGTTCCATATTAGGGAAAAGGTAACAGCCAAGTTGATGGCAAGACAGCACGCCTACACCAAGGGTAAGTCCACAGAAACAGTGCTAGATGAGATCGTGGTGCATATAGAAAATTCATTATCCTTCAAGGAATATAATCCTGTAGCATTCCTAGACAATAACGACAGCGCTGGCAGTTCTTTGTGTCGCTTCGCTGCTGGTGACACTTTTGGACCAATTGCTATGATGCAGGGTAGTTCAGGCCGATTTCTGGTAGGGATATTGACGAGTAGAGATGTCAGTAGAGGTATGCCACAAGGTGGAGTCCTATCTCCTATCCTATGGGCCTTGGCAGCAAACCAACGGCTTAGAAACATGGACGAAGAGTGGAGCTGTAATGTCATTGCGTACGCTGACGAACTCGCAATGATGGGCCTAAGTGTACTGGTGTGCATGGGCGTAGCCAGGTAGGGGCAGGGGGGTGCTCGAGCCCCCCCATAACTCTCAAATTTTCCTTATATATATATAAAATAGTACCCTGAAATGCCAGCTTAATAGGGTCGAGCCCCCCCCCCCCCTAAATTTTATTCCGGCTACGCCGTTAACGAGATCCCTTGTTGTACCACAACGGGCCCAATGATGAGCCTAAGTGTGCTGGTGTGTCTACCAGCAGCCACAGTAACCTATCCTAACCCAAGTGTTTTGGTTCACCAGGACCAAAAGGATATTGTAAATTCCCTTTAATTAATATTATTTGTTTAAGTCAGAAGGACGAAATACAATTTTATCAGAAACAAATATAACAAATTTTCAAGGCTATACAAGGGTGAAATTTTAAAAGAACATTTTCAATACTTATTAGTCCTTGTGCAACAAAAATTTACTCTTTCTCAAGACTAAGGAATTTTCGCTTTTAGTTGATATTATGGGTATATTTATTTTTGTTATTCTACATTGCACTAAAGCTTTTAAATAATTTTTTGATTTAATTATTGTCTTGAAGTTTCCAAGTCTTTTAAAGAGAGTTCCTGACGTCAGAGAGAAAAGCTATAAACGCAGTTTTACTATATTTGGCCTCTAGTTTCGGGAATATATTGGTGTGTGTGTATGTAAAATTGAATTTCGCATGTTGTGATTAAAAAAATTTTATTTATGTATTTACAAATTGAATACAAAAAAATATTTTTCAAACAAATGGTATTCATTTTCAAATCATTTTCCACAATCTGAACGTTATACAACTTCATACTAAGTTTAACAGTATTAGCAAATAAAATTGTAATAACATTCACACACATAATATTTGTATGTATGTATGTAATTGAATGGCAGCCACGCCTTAAATTAATAGCAAAATTTTAAATGTAAATACCGTTTAAGTCCAACTACTACCAGCAGCTAAGCAATGGTACATAACGAAACCAACTCATGCATATGCGTTGTTATGTATGTATGTATGTACATCCGTGTGTAAAATAAAATCGATTTGATTACTAGCATTTCAATAGAAATTTTACAAAAATCATTGATAAACTTTTAGCAATTAAAAACAAGAAACACACAATCAATCATGCATGCGTACGTACGTCAAGTTTCTGTCCAAAAAGGTGAAAGGCATACATACGAATGTACATTAGGGTGTATTACCAAAATAAATTGAATATTTTCTACCGTACTTATAAAATTTATTATATTTTAAGATTTCTGCACAAAAATCTATTTTTTTTTATTCCATTGAAAGTAGTTCAAAAATTCGTATGCAGAGCTTTNCACCAAAATAAATTGAATATTTTCTACCGTACTTATAAAATTTATTATATTTTCAGATTTCTGCAGAAATATTTCTGAAAAAATTCAAGATTTACGCGTGCTAGACCGGTTTGCAAATTCGCCACAAAAATCTATTTTTTTTTTATTCCATTGAAAGTAGTTCAAAAATTCGTATGCAGAGCTTTTGAGCTTAAACTCTACTCTCATGTGAGGTGAGTTTTTAGATAATAAAACTAATTTTATTTATAAAAAAAAGTCGAATTTCGGAAGTGTTTCCAAATGGGTCCGGCTGAAATATTTTGAATATTTTTCTGAAATATTTTGTCGGAAGTCCTAAAAAATAATAAATTTTATATTTCCGGTAGAAAAACCAGTACCAATTGGTTTTTGCATGGAGCGTGATGCACCCTAATGTACATATTTTGAGGCATTAAAAGTGACTTGGAAGTTAATAGCGAAGAATTAAATTTGTAAGCTCTCTACACTTGTATGCCTGTACATAAGGTACGTACCCTACCAGAACAGTTTACCGTATACGCCAATACATTTACAGTTTTGTTTACAAATCACAGACAACACACAAATTTCTTCGAAAATTTTCAATAAACGAAGGTAAGCCGAGTTCAGAGAGATTTTTACGGTAGAATTTTCCTATTGCTCTTAAGAATTTCGCAAAAACTTTACCTAACACAACAGGTAGCTTTACCTAAAATCCGGTATTTATTCGGGTATTTCCCAGTCTGTTCTGGTAGGGCGGTAATTCACACTAAGGTTGACCAGTTAAGTGCGAATGTATTTTAAAACAAAAAAAAAAAGAAATACAATTAACAAATACAAAAATATCAAGTGTCTAACGATTTTAAAGTACATAAATACTTAAAAACATAAAAAATTCGCCATGACAACTTTAATTGAATATATTGTGGAAATAAAAATGAAAACATATTATAATAGAAAAAAATATTAGTTTCATTTACTGAAATAACGACAGAAAGTGTTGATATCATCAAGCATTATTATTCTTTTTAAATTATGCTGACCTTAGCTATTCTGACTGTTTTTTTAAAATGCATCCCAGTAACCACACAGAGGTCAAAAACTGCGGTCAGAGGTGTTTAAATCGCCACAAACAGCTGGGCAGTTTAAACGGAAGTAAGACAATGAGGATGGGGTATGATATATATGTATTTCGTCTCACCGCGTGAAGACAGTTTTCTGCATATGGATACCCACTAGAATGGAAATTTAATCCTTCGCAAGCCTATGTAGAGCTATTAACCGTGTCCAATTCACCCTCTGTTAGAAGGTCCTGGTCGGTGCAAATTTTTTAGTTTTCACCCAGCGTCCACTGCGCTGACACAAAGCCTAACTCTCCGAGAGTAGTCCACATGTAGTCAAGAGTACTCCCACTCTCTCTTTTCACAGTGAGTCCCACATGATGACACCTCTCCCGGTCACCTCAACAGCCACAAAGTTTCCTAAATCTGAATAAGAAATACTAAAAGCATAGACAGACGGCAGCGTTGATACGGATCCACTCGTTAATTCAATTTTGGTTTAAAATGTGCAAGTTTCAAGTGGCTAAAAATTACCGTTGATTTTTTTGAAGGTGTGTAGCGCTGCCACTGAATTTCAGAATATGTATGTAAGTATTCTAAGGAATTTTAAAATAGCACTTAAAAGGGGAAAATTATAAGTAAAATGGGAAATGGGGTACGAAAAATTTAGGTACTTAGGCGAGTTTGGTAAATAAGCGGGGAGGTACTTAAGAAAGGGATTTTCTCCAGATTACTTCAAAAAATTCACGGCGTACANCATTATAATAGAAAACAAATTTTTGTTTTATTTACTGAAATAAAGACAGAA